AGTGCCAATTGGGCATCGTTTAAATGCCACGGCCTACCTGAGCATTGTTTCTGACCATGTCCATCCCTTTATGGCCACCATGTACCCATCCTCTGATGGCTACTTCCACCATGTCACAAAGCTCTAATCATTTCAAATTGGTTTCTTGAACATGACAATGAGTTCACTGTACTAAAATGGCCTCCACAGTCACCAGATCTCAACCCAATAGAGCATCTTTGGGATGTGGTGGAACGGGAGGTTCGCATCATGGATGTGCAGCCGACAAATCTGCGGCAACTGTGTGATGCCATCATGTCAATATGGACCAAACTCCCTGAGGAATGCTTCCAGCACCTTGTTGAATCTATGCCACGAAGAATTGAGGCAGTTCTGAAGGCAAAAGGGGGTCCAACCCGTTACTAGCATGGGGTACCTAATAAAGTGGCCGGTGAGTGTATGTTTGCAATTACAGAGATCATACGTTTCCTGTAGTTCTTGACCAGGTTTGCACACACTGCAGCAGGGATTTTGGCCCACTCCTCCATACAGACCTTCTCCAGATCCTTCATGTTTCAGAACTGTCGCTGGGCAATACGGACTTTCAGCCCCCTCCAAAGATTTTTCTATTGGGTTCAGGTCTGGAGACTGGCTAGGCCACACCAGAACCTTGAGATGCTTCTTACGGAGCCACTCCTTAGTTGCCCTGGCTGTGCGTTTTGGGTCGTTGTCATGCTGGAAGACCCAGCCACGACCCATCTTCAATGCTCTTACTGAGGGAAGGAGGTTGTTGGCCAAGATCTCACGATACATGGCCCCATCCATTCCTCCCCTCAATACGGTGCAGTCGTCCTGTCCCCTTTGCAGAAAAGCATCCCCAAAGCATGATGTTTCCACCTCCATGCTTCACGGTTGGGATGGTGTTCTTGGGGTTGTACTCATCCTTCTTCTTCCTCCGAACACGGCGAGTGGAGTTTAGACCAAAAAGCTCTATTTTTGTCTCATCAGACCACATGACCTTCTCCCATTCCTCCTCTGGATCATCCAGATGGTCATTGGCAAACTTCTGACGGGCCTGGACATGCGCTGGCTTGAGCAGGGGGACCTTGCGTGCGCTGCAGGATTTTAATCCTTGACGGCGTAGTGTGTTACTAATGGTTTTCTTTGAGACTGTGGTCCCAGCTTTCTTCAGGTCATTGACCAGGTCCTGCCGTGTAGTTCTGGGCTGATCCCTCACCTTCCTCATGATCATTGATGCCCCACGAGGTGAGATCTTGCATGGAGCCCCAGACCGAGGGAGATTGACCGTCATCTTGAACTTCTTCCATTTTCTAATGATTGCGCCAACTGTTGTTGCCTTCTCACCAAGCTGCTTGCCTATTGTCCTGTAGCCCATCCCAGCCTTGTGCAGGTCTACAATTTTATCCCTGATGTCCTTACACAGCTCTCTGGTCTTGGCCATTGTGGAGAGGTTGGAGTCTGTTTGATTGAGTGTGTGGACAGGTGTCTTTTATACAGGTAACGGGTTCAAACAGGTGCATGTTAATACAGGTAATGAGTGGAGAACAGGAGGGCTTCTTAGGCCCTGTCCACACGGACACAGGTATTTTTGTAACCATGAATTTTTTTTCGCGGTTCGGCCGTTCGTCCACACGGAAACGCACTGAAACCGAACATTTTTGAAAACCCCTGCCAGGGTGAGGATTTTCAGAAACGCCGGTTACAGTGTTGTCGTGTAGACAGTGAAACCGGGGTTTTTGCCTTGCGACGTCAGAGTGTGCGCCGTTATCAGCTGTGTTTGACGTCAGATTTGCGCTTCCGATTGGCCAACGTGGCTTTACGGTTAAGGGTTATATCGCCGCCTGCTGGCGTGGCATGCTCTTGACCGCGCTTGATAGCGTGTTTTTGCTTTTTTGTAGACGAAGACGGAGCATGTGTGGACGGGATTTTTTTTTAAAAAACGCTGTAGGAAAAGCTCCGGTTATAAAAATACCCGTGTCCGTGTGGACAAGGCCTTAAAGAGAAACAAAAAAATAATTTTGGTAATCACCAATACAGGGCAGCTGTGGCACAAACCTTAAATTGGGTGGTGGTCTAATAAATTTGTTAAACACTGTACATATAATATGTGTGTGTGTGTGTGTGTATTTAATGTGAATATATATATATTATTAAATGTTGAAGAGTATGTGATTTCTTTAGCACACACTCTTTTTCTTTTGTCCTTTTTTCATAATTTAGCCTAATCTTCATTTTTAAATCTTGTGCATCTGTAGTCTCAGTTAATTAACAGAGCAACTGGACGTATTTGGGGCACTATATGACTGGAAGTGGAAGTGTTAGTTTCAGAATGATGAAGTGTTCTTGGAATAAATATTTGATGGGAAACCCAAACTTCTGACCATTGTGGTTCTCTTCAGAATCCAACCTTTCATTTTCACAGTTCGGTGCTCCTTTGAAACCGAGAGGCCGAATGAACGACACCAACACTTGCCAGACTCTGCTGACACTGGCCAGGCCTTTATTGGTCCTCTAGCACTTCAGCTGTGCAGACACTTATAATCCGTGCCAAAATCCTGAGCTCACACCTACCTCCTATACCCTTTCTGACAGCATTTTTGAGAAATACATATGTGGCAAAGGTAAAAACATAGTTGTCTGTTGATAATGTGTCGGTTTGCTTTCTAATGCTTAAACTGGATTGGTGACTGTATCCTGATTGATTTCGTAATTTTCATGCTGGTATGCTCATAACTGACCTTGATTTTCTTCAGGGTCAGTTTTGAGGGTGTTAGTGCAAAGGATTTTTTGTTGTTAGTTTGGTTTTAGCACGGCTGCAGATTTTGACAGTACTACTATGTCTTGTTTGAGGGCTTTGGCACAGACATGTCATGAAATGTCTTAGGTCTTGATGTTTGGGTAAAAGCACTGCTGACTAACCTTTCAAATGCAACTCACATGTCATTTTCCTCTGTTCTTTTCTTTCCCCTTGCTGCAAACCTGCAGGGTGCCCGCCTAGTCTCAAGTGTTCAATTAGAAAAGACTGAAACAAGAGAAAGGAGAAATCTTTTATTTCTCTATAGTCCTGAGTCACTGCAAATGTATAAGGCTGTGAACTGTCTTGTTTGTTGTGAGGATAAAATTATCCTGATTTGCTCAGCTGTGCTTTTCTTTTTAAAGACCTTCAGAATTCATTAAACTTATCAAAAGTGAGACAAAAGATTCCATGACTGTTATTTTTTAGATGAAAAGAGACTACAGAAGGACACCAAAACCTGCACACTTCCTTATGAGTGGTGTAGTATTGGTTAAGAATTTGGTATGATCAAATACGATATGATCTTTTTAAATATTATCCAAAAGTTGTAGGTTTATGAATGATCTCCATTGTCCTTGAGAAAGACACGTAATCCCAAATTGTTCCAAAAGCACTGTATCTGTAATAAGTGTGCTTTTTAGCTTCAGCTAAATGTCATATTAATCATTTAATGGCTAATGTTTTGCATGTTAATAAGTTGCATGTTAACTATAATCTGAGCATTATAAAAGTCTTTAATCTCACTCAATTGGTGGAAAGTGTCAGTGCCAAATCTCCAATGTCTATCTAACCACAATCTAACACGTTCAGAAATGCATCTCAGGGAAAGAAACAAATCAGAAAGAGTTACAAATAGTGTAGTATGTATAAGTACATTTCCAAATAAATGTAGTATTGTGGATAGGTCTGATTGGAATGGTGTGATAAATACATGGGTGGAATGAAAGGAGAGGAAGGGTGTCAGAAGATAAAACGAAGAGAGTGAGCTGGAAAGTATTGGGTGGACTTTCCAACAGGATCTCCCAATTGTCTCCCCTCTGAGATCACTTTTAGGGATGTTCCCAGATGGTATTACAGGTGCAAAATATTGTTAAATATTATGGTTTAATATTAATACATATGCTTTGAAGAGCAGAAAGTGTGTTGTATATGAGAGGAAACTTTTATTTTGTGTTCAAAAGGGATAAAAAATAAGAATTAAAATTTCTAGGCTGAAATGTCATGCATACAATCAGGCTATACTCTTCATTCTAAAAACATGTATTTTTTTGGAAAGCTGAGATTGTTATTTGAGGGTAATGTTCTGTTCCTGTTTCATGGCACATGACCAGTAACAAGTCAGCGATATTCAGCGGTCTTATGATTTAACAGTATTGCACAAACACGTTTCTTTTAAGTCATGCATGCTTTTTTAGAAACATCGCAATTGCAACCAGATTTTTCTCTAGTTTACAAAGCCCTGCGTGAATATTTACAGAATATAGTGATTTTCATTATGAAAGACTTTTTATTGTCATACATTCTTAGAAGAAAAGGTTCTCTAATCTTAAAGAGTTCTGTCAGGCACTTCATACTCTATGGGTTCTCATCATGGGGTCATTTTATGGATTTAGTTGTAATTTTTAAATGAATTAAACTGCATGAGAACTTTATCACTAGAAAAATATGAAATTAAACATGAAAGTATTATACCGTAATTTAAGACATTTCTCCTGTATAGAACCTTTTTGGCATAAAGGGTTCTTCAAAATTGAGTCTAGAACCTTCTATATAGAACCCCATTGAACCTTTCTTTCTAAGAGTGCATGAAATAGTAAAGGATTGCATTAAAATGCTCTTGCCGCTATACGGACAAGCAATTACCGTTGAAACAACCATACAAACACATACACACACAAAACAAAATGTAAACTGATGCAAAAGCACCAATTTGGGTGCATGTGGGTTTCAGAGGGTCTCAACCTAACATAATGTGCACGTGTCTGCAGGCGTACATTTATAGATGGGGTGGGTGATCTTGTGATTCTCCATGAGTAAACATATACATGCCCTTCAAAACCACGCATGGCTCAGATGCCCGAAATGGTTGAGCTCTGACTAAACTGCCCTCTGAGCTTGTGGGAGTGAGTGGGGAGGTGTTCTGGGAGCTGTTGATGAATCTGTGCTTATGTCCATGTAAATCCTTCTCTACCAAAGCTGTTTCAGCACCACAGCAGAGACTTTCGAATTTAAAAGGGTCGTAGACACAGAGAAACACAGGGGGGAGCTTAGAAAGCTCTGCATGGTAAACACAAAGTGGCGGTGAGTATGAAGAGAGAGAGAGAGAGAGAGAGAGAGAGAAGGAGGAGAGACTGTACAAGGAGAGAAGTCAGTGAGTGAGTTTGCAAGACCAGCACACATCAGAGCAGAGAGCAGTGCTGTGGATCTTTGCTTTGGAATCTGTCACACAGGAAAACCCAAAGGAAAATTTATGATAAAGCAGAGCGTTATATAAGTATCAACAGTTCTGCTTTCGGACAAAAGGGGAAGTAGCTTGTGTTTTCTCTCTCGTCGCTCAATCGCACACTCATCAGAGTGATACAGGGACAGTTGAGCTATGGGGACGGTAAGCGAACTCTGTGCGTCCAGCTTCCAGGCGTTCCTGTGTCCTACGGTTAGCCCGGCTCCTCCAGCAGGTGGGTCTGTCATCATGTGCATGTACTTGGGAATTACATCCATTCAAAATCTGGGATTTGTCCAAAACTGTTTAAAGGGATCATGAAATGCATTTTCAGATCTTTAAATTATGTTTCTAGAGGTTAGCTTATGAAGTTAACAGAGTTGTTTTTTTTAACCAAAAAGGTTCAAATATTTGTAAAAAGTATTTCCACCCTCATTTTCACTATTTCAAACACACTCTGTTTTGGGGGACGTTACCTCTTACAGAAACACAAGTAAACACCCACTACGGTGATCGAAGGGCTTCATCGCAACGCATCCATGCCGCTCACCACAGTATGTTGGACATGATGCTTGAGATGGCCAGCACTGTAATAGAGACATATGTGTTTAAGCCCGTGGCAGAAAATACTTGCTTTCTTCACACTTTATTAATATTAAACTCAAGAAAACATTGTTAATCCATGTATACTGATTTATTAGCAGCATTACAGTGATACACTTGGTCTCTTGATAGTGTTATATGCTGGCTGTATGACGTTTATTACAAACACTCTTAAAGATTGTTAATAAATGTACTTACCTGTGTTGCCTCAGAGGACAAACATGGCCCCGCCATAGATTTCAACAAAAGATATTTGGAAAAACAGGCAGCATGTTGAGCATAATTATGAAAACAGTCTGGTGGTGTGAAATAACTCAAACAAATGAACTTTCTCGTTCAATTGCTTTGGAACATCAAAATAAACTTCAGTCATGAATTCGTAATAGTTTCGGAACAGTATGCCCAGTTTTGGAGGTGTAGTTTGTCTACATCCAGGGACAGGATACCGTCTGGCGCTCTTTCTCGACATTCTCCCACAGCAGTACCACTCTTTTGACTGATAGACATGAGTTAATAAGAGCACACCTTCTTGATAGTAACCTCTTATGTGTAAATAAATGTCAAGGACATTTGGATTTTTCTATTTCATGACCTTTGTGATGCATTCATAGCTGGAACCATCTGAGATCTGAGTAAAGTCACGTGCAACTGCATGTTAAATTAGTGTTGTTGCCGTGGTGATAAAAAGTGTCCCTGGATCGTGAAAGTGTTGGATGGAGAGACGGAGTTGCCGTCATGCTCATGCAATGTGAGACAAATCGCTTGTTGTGTTGATGGAAAGTTGCTGGGTTGTCAGAAATGGTGTTTAAGATATGGTTGCAATACTAATAATAGTGTCTCCGTGTGATGATTGTGAGACTTGAAACGTCCACCTGTTGCCCATTGACCTTCAGTCATGTCCTATAGTAATATGATCAGGTTTCCTTGTGGACTTTGTCTGCACTGTTTTTTTAATGTACTTAGTCCTGCATTCCTCTGTTTGAGTGCTTATTTGTTTGTTTTAACACTCTCGGTGGGTTTGTGCGTGCTTGTTGCTCATCAGTGTGATTTGTGTGAATTAAGTGTTGGAGCTGCTGAGAGAATCACTTGGTGAGAATGAAGAGGAGAAACTCTAAATCAGGGTGAGAGAGAGAATTATGAAGGGGTGGGATTGATGAAGATTTCTTGGTTGATTTTGTTTTAGGCATCATAATAAGAGAGAAAATAAATGAAGGGATTAGATCTGTGGCTTTTTATTTTAGATGGATTTCCTCCTCTTCTTTTTTTTTCATGCCATCTGTCAAAAATGGTCCCAAAAGTAAGCACATCAGAAAACACAGCGACGACTTGTTTTTGGACAGAATCTCTTATTTATTTTATAGAGCTTTACCTAACAATTGTAGTAAATCGCAGAGATGGTTTTAACTTAATGGTTGCTCTTCATTGCTCTTAATGGTGGTCTCTCTTGTGTTTCCTGCACGTTCTTTGTCTCGGATGTTTCTCCTATTCCTTGGGAGAAATAAAAAATGGAGTAAAAACTAGAAAAGATTTTTCCGACTCTTTCTGCTGGTTACTTAGTTGTGGTAGTAGTTGGCACTTGGCAGCAAATGGGTTTATGGATCAATGAATCATTCACTCAACCAAATCATTTAAAACGCTGATTCATTCGGAATCCAGACTGTGCATTGTTTGGAGACTGCTTTGATATTTGGAATTATTTTAGTTGACGGAGCAGAAACAGATGAAGTAACTGGGAATATTGTGCCTAAAATGTAAGTAATCAGTATTTATGCCTTGCATATTGAACTATTGAAAAGCAATCACACTTGCAAAATACTATTGCACTTGCGCTATTGCATGAATATTGGATAATGATTCAATAACTGAATGGGTTCACTGGCGGCTGGCACTGTGTCCTTGTTTCTTTGTTATACATAAAGGATTTAATGAATTTTTGTTCTTTTTTTGCAAGGCAAAAGAGTTAAGGATCTTTAATGCAGAAATAGTGACTTCTTTTTCTTATATACTGTATATGGATGCTGTGAATCCATTTTAGGAAGTAATTTGTCATGAATCATTACCAAATCACATGGACAGGAAATACAATCCATCCTTTTGCATGCATGCTCTTTCATTTCTCCAGAGTTTAGCAAACTACAGCATTATTCAATCCAGTGAAATGGGAAGTCATTTACTTTGAGTGTATTAAGGGCTGTTCCCATAATGACACTGAGCCCAAATAGACAAATACTGTATGTGTGAAAAGCTGCTCTCCTGTTCTGCACTGAATCCATCATAGACATTTCACTCTTGGCTGATCATTATTTGAAATACATCCTCACGGCATCACTGTGACTGTTGTGTTATCATTAGTAGTGACTTTAGTATAAGAAGATGCAAAGCATCAAGATTTATCAAGACTTAGATTTATTTCTAAGCTATTTTTTTTTTCAGTCCTTGGCACATGGCTGTATTTTTTTCTTTCTTTGGAGAAAAGTGCAATTGAGAGGCCCATTCCTCCCTAAAGCTTTTTACTGTAAAAGTACTGGTCTGTGTGTATTGAGAGACAGGGAGATTTCACACTATGCAAAAAAGCCTTAGATGAGTCTAACTTCACTTAAAAGTCACTCCAAGTCAGAAATAAGAATGGTACAAAGGAATAATCAAAAGAAATGAGCCAGGAAGAGTGAACGTGGGAATGTGAAAATGGAGAGGGAAATTGTGAAACTATTGTTCAGTGAGGAGGAAGTAGATTGCGTATAAGAGATTGAGTTTTATCTGTTCATACGCATACACAGTGAATCAGACGCCACGGGCGGCTCAATGATCTCTAATCGTAATGAGTCAATAAGTCAATCAAGCTTTCTCTGAATGAGTAGTGTTCTATTATCACCACCTCCAAATTCACATGTGGCTAATGAAGTATTTTTAAAGAGGAATTTAATGTCTGATATAGAGTATTTGTGCTGCACAATTTTAGTGTGTTTCTTTCATGAAGTTCCCTTAGAAAAGCTGATTTCCTGTAAACAAACAATCTCAAATGCCATTAATGCAGAAATTGTGCATTTTCTTAAAAAATAAATTTGAGAAAATCTTTTTCTCAAAATATATTCATACTGTTATTTTGGGCTGTCATGATTTGGGGGAAAAATGTTTAATTGTGTTTTTTTTCTTGATTAAAAAATGTAATTGAAAATTAAAATGATTTTAAAATTCAACGTTTGATTTGCTTGTAGGGGTGCACAATTTTGCCAAAATTATTATATACATGTTATTATATATAGATATAGCTATAAAATAATAATGATTTATTATTGTTATTATATTATAGGCTACATATACTTGTGTGTATACGTATGCAGGTTCTTGGCCGTAATATAAGCTGCAACATGACAATGCGTACTTGCGAATTGTGAATTGCATTCCGATACATTCTGTAATGCAACAATGTGTGAAATCAAGCTTGCATAACATCTATCCAATGTTGCTGGAATCAGCCTAAGCATAGCTTACTCATAGTTATTGCTGCATATTAAGCTGAGATAGTAGTAAGTATTTTAACACCACAAGAATGAAACACTTCACCTTTAGACTGAATACACACAGCTGCTCTCAGAATGAGCCTCACAACAAGCCTCTACACTTGAACCAATTTTGACCTGCCAGTTTTGCCTAATGCAACCTATTCATGCAAATTTGTAAAAACTCTTCTTTTTCATACACACACACAGCACAGTGTTGGTTGAATTATTGAATTATGATTATTAAAATGTGTTGAAATTTGGAGAGAAAGTCCTATAATATGTAGATGCACACACGGTCCAAAATTAACACTCACAATAAATTAATTAAAAAAGATGTATAACAACTTTTTAAAATAAAATTAATTATATGTATTGTATAATTATATGTATATGTATTTGTGTGTATACCGCAAAATTATTTTAAAATGTCATATGTCATTATAAATGTCAAATAATGAGAAATCAACATTTCCATTTATATAGAGGGTGCTTATATAGACATATAGACAGCAAGAAAAAAAAACTTTGGTCATGAGAAACTTTTTTCATTATGCGTCTAAAATTGTGTGACTAAATGACAATGGTAATTTCACACACATTTCATTTTAAAGCAGCACTAAGTAGGAATTCCGTTTTTGTCAAACAGCGACCCCTAGAGTCGCTGTGGAGTACTTGTACTGTCGTGAATAGCACTCACGCAGAGATGGCTCTCACTCACGGCCGGATCCCCTCCCCCTGTACACCGGTACCTGTTCAGTAGGATGGACGCTGTAACGAGTGGAAATAAGGTATGGCCCCTTTAAGAGTCGCGCCCAACACCACATGTATACGGCGCCGGGTTATTTCTGTTTGATGCTCATTTTATCAGAATTTTATCAGATCTGTTTTTTGCCGTAAAGTAATTCGTTACCTCGCGAGACCTGATATCACACGATACCCGCCGGCCCAAAGTTGCAAGGGTGGTTTTGCGGCTCACAGGCACCAGGGGGGTGCGAGACGACCACCATTCAACACGAAATCAGTAATATAAACATTACAATGACTCTAAAGCTGTTCGGTTAAGGTAAAAAAAGTTACTTAGTTCACCTTTAAGTAACCTACCAGGCACACAGTTGGAATGAGATGTATG